AATATGAGGTGTTGAGAATAATTACAAAATTGGTCTTTCAAACATAAAACACCGTATCAAAAAAGGATGTGAGCTTTTGTGGCAATAAATTTTTAAAAGATTTCAAAAAATAAATTAACATCTTTTGTGGCAATAAATATTTTAAAAGATTTTAAAAAATAAATTTTAAGAAATTATTATAGAACTCTATAGTGTCAAATTGGTATCATATCCTTAGTATATCACTATATACAAAAGCTATGAATACGTGTGCCCAACAAATACACACTAGCTATGAACACGTGTGCCCAACAAATACACACTAGCTATGAACACGTGTGCCCAACAAATACACACTAGCTATGAACACGTGTGCCCAACAAAAATACAAATAGGTTAGGAAGGAAAGAGAAGAATTGGCATTTTGAAAAATTCGCATTCAATTGTGTTACAAAGGCTCGATATTGTATTACATGCAAATCAGCAGGACAAATATTTCAAGAAAATTGGGACTTTGTTTTTTATAATTTTGTCTTGAATCCCTATTTAATGGGATTAGGTTTTTTTTATTTTGGATTTCGTTGGATAGTTCTTATTATACAAAATGATATGTTTTGGGTTAGTTCTATTTAGATTAAGATAGGGACATGGTAACACAATACATAAGGATAAAGTTAAGGGTTTCAAAAGTCTTAAGAAAGTAGGTGGCATCATGTACTTGTCTTGGGGTCTCTTTTTTTCATTATATATTGATAATTTTGTTAGGAGAGAAACTGCATGAAAAAAGAAAGAAAACTTAGGTGTGTAAAGAGAAAAAAATTGTAGAGAGAAAAAAAAATTGGTTGGAGAGATTTGAGTTTTTTTTGTTATCTCAAGTAAGTGATATATATATATAATTAGTAACAAAATATCGATAGTTTTTGCCAATAGATGAAGTTATATCAGTAAGTACCTTATAATGTTTTTTAATTAGTAAAAAAATATTGATCATTTTCAACCATGAATGTAGTCGTATTTGTGACGAAACCTTATTTTTTTGTATTATTTGTTTCCTACTTTATTTTTCGTGATTATTGCTTGCTTATTACAAGTTTTATTTTTCTCGTATTTTATTTACCAAAAGAAATCAATCCGTTTGGCTTTGGAGCATCCGTGCACAACGTTTATCACCTATCAGGCTATAGCGAAGTATCTCTATCAATTTCTCTATTTTCCCTTTCTTTTTTCAGATTCTACTTGTATTAATTAAAATTCAGTGGCTTATTAGCTAAGAAAAAGGTAATCTCTAATAAATGAATTGAGATTTGCGGTTATCTCATTCCCTTGTCCTTGGAGCTAAATATATGAATAAGATGATATTTCTTAAAGTTCCATGAAAAGTCAACTTTATTATTGCAACTAGAATGATTCAACAAAACAAACTTGCTAATAAACAAACTAAACAAATAGATATACGGCATTATCTTCTGTTGCGTAGGCGAATAGGTATGAGAATGTGCTTAAAAGTCCAAATCACATTTCTAATACCTTCAAAAGAAAAGCAAAAAAAAATAAATTCAATTCAATTAAAATATTAATAAATAAATAAACAACTCTTTTACGTAAGTGTACAGTTTTGGAGTTGCTTTCAAAGGAAGATTAATAAATTTCTCTTCTTTTAATAAATGATGAAGTTTATAAGGCCTTGGGAAAGAAAAAATACCTCACCTCAAATTCTTATTTGGAAAGCACTTTCGGTAAAAAAAATCTCGATGATGGCTCTAAATCAATTTCAAACATCAACAATAATTTTTGAAATTAAAAAAATGGTACAAAACCTGTGGATTTATGAACACTATTTTTAGATCTTTAAATCCTAATTTTTTTTTTACAAACATAATGTTCAAACCGAGATGATCAATGTAAAGGTTTTTTAATGCTTGATTGCAATTTTCAATGAGTTATGAGGTGAAGTTTTACTTATTTTAATAGATTACAGTCCCATCAAACTATTTTCCTTTAATAAAAGTTTAATTTCTCTCTCCTTTGTTTATCTCACTTCAAATCCACTTTCCTTAAATAAGAAACTGAAGTCAAGAAAGAAATAAGCGTGTGGTTTCTATAAGGTTGCAACCTTAAACAATCCAATTAAAGTGCACCTCCAAAATTTATCATAAAATATAATTTTGGTTAAAAAAATTCATAAGATTATCCCATAATCTATTTTCATATCTAATTATTAAATTTTAAACTCCAAAAAGTGTTAAAATGAAGTAGATCTATAAATATATGAAAATCTTGAAAGTAGACGGTCTAGACCATGTGTCGCAAGATGCACTATTTCTAATTTTTAAAATCTTTTGTTTTTTCATATGCATATATCTTGTTGTCAAGATGATCAATTAGATTGTTTTTCAACATTAGATCAACTTTTCTGATAGATTTTTGAAGTGCATATGTATTTTATTTTTAAAGGTTACAACCTTATATAAATTTTTTCCAAAAAAAAATAAAATAAAGGAAAAAGTTTACATGTAGTTGGAACCTTAAAATGTAGAAGTACATATGCATCTAAAAAATTATCGGAAAAAGTTGTTTTAATGTTGAAAAACCTACTACTTTATCATCTCAACATCGAGATGGAAGAATACAAAAAAAAAAAAAAGATTTTGAGCCTATAAAATAATACATCTTGCAACGCATTATCTAGATCACCCATTTTCAAGATTTTTGTATAGTTATAAATCTAATTGATTTTAACCATTTCTTAAGTTTAAAATTTTCTAATTAGATATGAATAAATTTTAAAATAATTACGCCTTAATTGGATTGTTTAAGTTTGCAAGGAAACCACACCCTATTATCTCAGCGACCTACGAGCCGCGATATGTGCAGAAGCCGAGGAGAGAGAGAGAAGGGTGGGGAGGTCGGTTCGAGACGTGGGGACCACACCCGGGGTCCACGTGGCCACTTGCCAGGTGATGTCGAGTATGACGTGTCGCAACACGTGTTAGGACTCACACGGTTAGGGCGGGCCCGCCGTGGCTGTGTTCGTGACGGCGGCTTTCAACGCTTGATTGACCTTTCCAAGTTGGCGGCTGAGGTCAACACAACGCACTATTTCTCAACTTTTTTTTTTCTTTTTCTTTTTCCGAATTTTATTTCCCCTTTTTTGGTAATTTTATTTTCTTGTGAACAATTCATTTTATTTCAGTTTCATCACATTTTATAACGTATTATTTTAATTTTAATTGCTTATATGCACGTTTTTTCATTAATGCATCAAACTTTTAAATTACCTCCTCTTTCGTCTAACTTTTTATTAAAGAAAATTTGTATCAAATTATAAATAAGTTTAATTGTTTAATATCTTATCTATATTTTTTATAAAAATTTGAAGTTATCAAATTTTAAATAGCCGATCAAATTAAATGACACGTCGAAATGGGTTTTGAAATTTATCAAATTAGATAGGGGTAAAATATTAAACAGTTCAGATAAGTACTTGAGCGTATTTTGATAGCATTCCACCTATTTGCAAGTCATGATCATGTGGATATCGATGGATATTTTGAAATGAAATCAAAATGCATGGGTAAATTTCCAAGCAGTTCATCTCTCATGAATATTCGCATAAAATTCCGTTTTCAATTTCAGCAATTATTATTATAATTGTAATACTTTCTTTCTTATTTTGCTTATTTGATTTTTCATTCACGCGCAGCGAAGGGGTCCCAAGAAAACCGGATTTGGGAAAGTTTCCATTCGAAAATTTCCAACTTCTCTGAACGTTGCGTTGGACATTTTCCTTAGCTGGCTTTCCAAGCAAAAGTATAAACACATGAAATCAGCTCAGAGTTAATAACTTTAACAGGTATTTTCCTGAATTTAGGGTTCATTTTTTTTAATGAAAGGCTAATCCGTATTTTTTTTTAATGAGAGGCTAATCCGTACTAAAATATTTAGGTTTCCAGTTGCGACTCTTACCGGCGGCATTCCGAACAAAAATATAAATAAATGGAAGCTGAGAAGTACTAATAATGGGATTTTTCCTGATCTCAGGGTTAATTATTCAAAAGGCTTACCTAATCAGCATTAATTATATAGGATTCCAATAGAGACTTCTAACTAATATTTTTTATTTTATTTATTTTCTCTAAGCTAGAGAGCTTACTAGTATTATTTCATGGGTCTGAGTCATATGGTGCCCCCCTGATTCATGCTAGTTGTCTAAAGTCCAAACAAATGAATATTAGTTATTAAATTATCAAGAAAGTGATACATTATTTAATGCATATTTTTTAATGGATTATAAAAGCATGTTACGGCATCGCAAATAATTCTTATTTTAAGCTTTTGGGGTACACTAGAAATTGCCTTTGAAATATCTCCCTAATTTCCTTAGTTTTTAGGTGCTTATGTAACTCGAAAAATAACCTTGAAATATGATCATAAACCGACTCCTTTCGAACGAGCATACTATGCTCCCGAGGGAGCATATTTTACTTCTAATCCCTCGGTTGGAAGACCCTTGGGAGGATTTTTTTTTTAAATCACACTTAGGAATTAGTAGATAATCATTCTAAAAAATTGATATTTGAGTTTTTTACCACTTAAATCTCACTATATAAAAGTTGAGGGGCCTCTATTCAACCTCGTGCATTATTTTACTCAAGTGCATAAAAGATATTATTTTTAATTGAGGTTGATCTATGGGTTGGAAGGGTTAGATCAGGATCCTAAAATTAATTCTATGAGGAGATGTATCCGATGGAGTAAATCAACATTGTATTTCCACATGAGTAGAATATCTTTTGGTCTTTCTTTATTTCCTTTTATTTAAAAAATTTGGGTTAAATTTTATTGTGGTCTTTAATTTAGAAAAAAAAAAACTTACCCCATAATTTTTTTTTTCAAAAAATGGTCTATTTTAAGAGAAAAAGGTTTGAATAAGATAAAAGAGGGTGCCTTGCTATCAACGCATCTCAGGTTCGGGCTTAGGTTCGGAGGAAGACTTAGCGGATAAGAACGACCCCGTCCCCCATCCCCACTTTCTACAAGAGGGATAACCCATCCTTGTAACAGAGCAAAAACCAAAGAAAACGAGGAGAGAGAAACTCCACTTAAAAATCGAAGCTCAGTTCCAAGCTATTTTCTCTCTCTAAAATCTCCCCATATTTCTCAGTGCTCCAAAAATGGCGATTGAGCAGGAACTCAGCCTCAAAGAGATCAGGCCCAAAAATAGGAGAATCATGGTAACACCATTGCTCTCTCTCTCTCTCTCTAAATATATGAATGTATACATACAAAGAATGTGTGAGAAAGAATGGTGCTTTTGCTAAATTGGGTTGTGGGATTTTTACAGGGAGGACGATCACCTGATGAAGAGAACATATGGCCGCCATGGCTGAAGCCTCTTCTCGAGACGAGCTTCTTCGTTCAATGCAAGTTCCATACCGACTCTCACAAGAGCGAATGCAACATGTACTGCCTTGACTGTAGCAATGGTGCTCTCTGCTCCTTCTGTCTTCAACACCACAAAGACCATCATGTCATACAGGTATGCTCTCTCTCTCTCTAGTCTCCATTGTAATAAAAAACTCAAACCAAGCTTGTCTTCTCTCATTTCCCTCTCTCTCTCTCTCTCTCTACTAC